AACATCACTTGTTGCCGTGACTTCAACGTCACGTTTCTTATCTTTCCTTTTTTAGTTTTAATGCTAAGAATTTCTTATCTTTCATTTAAACTTATGTTGTGCTTTCTTTTACTTTACGTGATAGTACTTCATTATTTTGGGCTTTAGGATTAAACCTCTCTCAAATTCGTTTATGACCTAGATGAGAGTCATATTTAAGTTGTTGTATTTTTCTTTAAACACTCGGTTTTGATAATTAAAAGAGTTTGTACTCAAATTCTAGAAGCCGATATCTTTTGACATGTTTCGTCGAACTTTCAGTTGAGCTGAATTCTCTCTTCATATGCTATGCCATTTTCTCCGTCAGAGTCGCAACAATATTCAGAAAAAAATCTTTGTAGAAATTCACATTTATCAAGTGGCCATATATAGTGAGTGACTCAGCAATGTTTTTCTTCTGCCACATGTTTCAATCTGTTAAGTTTATTGACAAAAATGAAGATGCAAGGAAAATCATGAGAGGTCAACAAAAAAGAGAACTAACCTTGTAAACTTCGTGGAAAATAGTTTAGCAAAAAAAAACAAACTTCGTGGAATTTCCCTGAAGTTCTTCATGTTTATAATTGCAAAATAGACCCCTGTATTTCTAGCAAATTTTTTATAAAATCCTACTATATTAAATTGTAAAATTTTAGTCCATTTATTTTTGAAGAAAAACAATAACATTTCCATTCAAAACGTAGTTATTATGGAAACACAGTGTTTTTGCCATGCTATAAGAACCTAAATAATTTAAATATAACCTAAAAATACTAGAAGATTCGGTATTTTAAAGTGATATGTTAGAAATTTCCATTGAGCCTAAACATACTAAATAATTTTGATATTGTATAAAAGCGTCAATTAAATTTAATCAGATATAACTTTATACTAAAAGATTTAGCAACTTAGGTCAACCCTTACTGGAGTTCCAGATAACATAACATGGCTTCACACATCTCATGGAAATTATACGGTCAAATCTGGATACAATCTTTTGAGAGCAAAATAAGGTCAGTCTTCTTCTACACCAGTTCCTCTGTTTATTTTATTGTGGAAACATCAATTA